CATACACTCTCTTAATCTAAGGGTGTATGGGAAAAGAGGAAGAAGAAAAAAGGAAGAAAGAAACCTGCTCTGATACCAAGATGTAAACCAGTCCTCAAAAATAGGTGTAAACTTGAAAAATTAGAGAGAAAAATGAGGAAGAAAAAAAAGTAAGAGCAGCAGTACAAGAGAAGAAGATGGAGAAAAGAGGAGGAAGAAGAAGAAGGGTTTGAATCATCCTTCCCTTTCTTCTCTAATCCTTATTACAAAAAATAATGTTAAAATAATTACAAGTATGGCCTTAAGTGGGCGGCCAGCTAGGCAGTAACATAAAGATATCAAACAAAAAGAAATAACAGGCCCATTAGCTAACAGGAAAATAGAAAAAATATTACAAGAGAAGATACTAGGACCCATTCGGCCCTGTCTCTTTACACTGTGGAAGGAGACTTTAAGGTTGTTGTGGGATGGTTAAGAAACAATGCACAAGCAACATGGAAACACAGATATATCTCAAGGGAAATCAGCCGAGGAACTGAGGGTTACTTTTCAGTGGGTTCCTAGATCTGTCAACAGTATGGCTGATGGGTTAGCAAGGCAAGGGGTGAATCGAACTGGAATGTTTTCGGATGTGTTTCCAAGGGGGACCTGATGTAAGAAATTTGTGGTAGACTGTGTATTGTTCTACTTTTCTCCTTTTGTAAATCTGTATATTCTGTTCATATATAATAAATTTTGATTGTCACCAATTCAAAAAAAAAAAAAAAAGGAATGACTGAACACTCTATTAGGTCTTTTTTTAATTATTAATAATCCAAAAAGACAACCTTCTGCAGGAAAGGAATGAAGGATAATAATATAGAATCTCAAAGTAGACCTGGGTCTTGCTCACCAGCAGAGAATGGACTGGATTCCTTTGATGAGGTAGGTATCATCTTTTGATATCAAGTGCACTTCAAAGTGTTTACTCATGTGGTTGAGTTCTTTCAAAGTGATAACTGCTATTTATGTTATGTTATTCTGCTTGTCTTGGTTGACTGAAAAGATTGATATGTTAAAAGTTTTATTGTGGTTAATTTGTATTTTTATCTTTCCCTTTTTTCTCCTTTCTTTTCTTTGGACAATAAAGGGTCAATTAGAATTAATTAAATCAGTTAGAAAGAAAGAAAAAAACTAGAAGATACAAAAATCTAGACTGGAAAAAGCCAGCTCTGCTCAAGCCAAAACATCCAACACACTGCATCTTGAAACATAAAAGGAAAAAATATGGCTTGCACTTGTCTGCCTCCAGGTCAGATTCCTAGTACAACTCCCAATTATCTCCTCTTACCAAAGAATCTGCTTAAGGATTTGAAGATATTTGGGTGCATCTAAATCAGGTGTTCAGGCTGGATTCCAAAGACCCCATCTCTCCTATAGCATGTAGTGGGGACCAAATGTCTGATTCAGTTGCCCTCAACCACACAAGAAAAATGATTGCGATAAGATTACACAAGAAAAAGGGAAGGGAATACACAGAAAGATACAACTTGAACTGGACTAATGATTAGCAGGTTAGGGAAGAGGGGGATACAGAAAGAGCATAGAGGAAACTCAGATTAAACTTCACTCAAACAAGAAAAGAAAATGTTGACAAGCAAAGGATTCATTACTTGTCTTAGAAAAGGCAATGTTAGAATTGGAAGATCCCGGCATGCTATCAGACTGAGATAGAAGGCAACTAAACTTTTCCATCTCTGGTCAGGTAGCGGTCAAAACCTCAGCTGTAGGAGTAAGATCGCTAGGTGTAGCTGTGGATTGGATGGTTGATCTCTTGTGGTAGTCACATTTGCAGTACTTCACTTTCCCTTGGTAAATCTTGCAAGTTGCAAGTGGTGTTATTGTTGTGTAATGAGGAGAGTTTTTTTCCCTTTTCTGTTATCTTATTTTTGTTTGGACATGTGTAAGAGTAGTTAAGGGGCCATTACTTGGTGTAATTGTAAATTCTCAGGCTGTAAAGCATGAGAATGCAGGTTCATGTCTGAGGCCAGCCACTTTTGTGTGAAAAAAAGAACCAAAAGTTAGGACTGAACTAGTCTATTCCTCCCAAGATGACAGATAATTGGGACTGACATCGGGTAATGGCCATTTATGTGCTATGGTAGTTAGCTGTTTTTACCCTCATTATTAGTCTCCATATAATCTAATTGTTTGTGAAAAGACAGAAACATTTCTCTCGTTTTCTACCTTTCTCTTTCTTTTATCCTTTGTTATTATTAATTTAAATCTGAAATCTTGTAACATTGTAATATAGCATATTTAGATACTGCAATTTCTCCAAGGAACCTTTCCTTCCCGCTGTTGCTCGTGACACTCCTGATCATTTGAGTCTACACTTGCATCTTGTAGAATATTCAGTTCTATATTTCTCTTCTGCTATCATGGTCACCATGGGTGACTATAGGTTTAAAATGTCGCTTGTGTCGGTAGAAATGTCAGTCGCCCAAATATAAGAAACATGTCAGAAATATCATATGGAAATATTGTAAACATTATAGACATGGTGGAAACATTGTAAAATATGCAAATTATAGAATGATATTTTATGAAATGATGAAAGAAGCATAGGAACACCTTTTTAAGTTATTGTCTTGTTCCAAATCACTAAACAAAACTAAGAAACTAAGGTTATAGATAAAAGAATACGTTCTTTCAGTTTTTTTGGGCCTTCTAGCTGGGGTAAAATGCTCCTCTAAGTCCATGTGGAATCCAGTTATCGAAAGACTGGAGAAGAGGCTGGGGGGATGGAAGTCCAGGTATCTGTCCAAGGGAGCCAAGATTACTCTTTTAAAAGGCTCACTAGAAAACCTGCCTCTTCATTCTTTATCACTGTTTCCTATCCCAGCCCATGTGGTTGAAAGGCAGGGAGAAATTAGAAAGGGATTTCCTTTGGTGTGGGAAGGATCATGAGCAAGGAGTTCATCAGGTGAAGTGGGAAACCATTTGCAAACCTGTAACCGAAGGGGGCCTAGGTGTGAGAAGCTTCAGACAAGTTAATACTGCTCTATTAGAGAGCTGGCTTTGGCTTTTCAATTCTCAGCCCCAAAGCTTGTGGAGGCAGCTGATTGTGGAAAATTTTGGTACAAGAAGTGGTTGGGACCCAGGATCTACTCCCTCTTTTGTTGGTTGTTCAGTCTGGAAAGGGACTAAGAAGGTTTTAGTTGAAAACAGCCCTCTTGAAGTATAGAACTGCTTGAGATTAGATGCAAAACCAGAAAACAAACAAGAGAAGATTAAGAAGATGAGAGAGAGAGAGAGCTGGCGGCAATGAGAGTTAGAGAGTGAGAGGTTCGAACTAAACCTCCCTCTAACACTCTAAAACATTTTATTAAGTTAATCTTTGAATTATTACAGAGAGGCCCTTGGGTGGGCAAGAAATTACAAAAACAGAGTATATAAGAGTATGGGCCCAGAATAAGGCCCATTACATTGGAAAACATAAACACAACATAGAATGACAGCCTATGGGCCATTCCGCCCATCTCCTCTACAGTTTTTCCTATTTTCATTCAAGGGATGAGGCTGAAAGTAGGTGATGGTAGAAGGATGAGATCCTGGCAAGACCCTTGGTGTAACAACTCTGCCTTAATGGAGGTCTTTCCTTCAGTGTTTCTTATAGCTGAGGATAGGGATGCGATGGTGGCAGATCAGTTTGGGTGGTGTTGGAGTACAGAGACTTGGTGTCCTAAATTCAGGAGAACTCAATGACTGGGAGATTTCAGACCTGCTAGCACTGTTCCAGCCACTTCAAACTCAACATCCACACCCAAATCAGCAAGATTCAAGGGTCTGGAATTGATCTAGTGATGGCATTTTCTCTGTGAAGTCCTTTTATAAGAAGCCACTTCCAAACTCAACATTCTTACTCTCACAGCATGAAGATCTTGAAGATTAAATGCTACCAGAACTTTACCAATCGTTTGAATCAATTTTTCAAGGATTTCCTCATTCCAGAAATTGAAGTGGAGCCCTACTAGCTGAAGCTCAAAGTTTCTTTCAGAAATATAATTCTGGTTACAAGACATATACCAACTCTCCACAGTCCACCCTTACCCTTCCAGCTGGAGATTCCACCATCTCAGTGCTGGGAATAACAACTTCTTCACCAGCTCCAAGTAACACAGCCTTCGAATCATTGAAGGGTTTAATATTCACAAATAACAATACCTTTTATGTTGATTCTCTCCACAACCACCTCCATGATTCTTCCCCAATCTGACCCTTTTTTGGCTGATGTTAAAATCACATTCTTCTCCCAAGCTCCTTTCTCCACATCTAAGAGCATCCTTCAACTTCTGGTATCACTACATACTATAGCTTGTGGATCTTTTTTTTTTATTTTGTTTTTCTTCCTTCGTTTTCTCTCTGTACTCTGCTTGTTACAGACCTCTCAGCCACCGCTTTGTTTTGAACTTTGTGAGTAACTCCTGTAATAAATCTGCAAACATTCTCCACCCCGGTATCTTTCTATCCCCCGGAACACATAACATCTATTTTCTATTCACCAAATCTTTCCATGATCACTACAAACCAATCTTTCACGTTTCTCCATGGTTTCAAAAAGTTGCATTCACTTCACTCTTCCTGTCTTCCTGCCCAGTTTTTTAATGGAGAATGTCGTCCCATCCATGAATCCCTTCAACCATCCTATAACTTCCTCAACTACGAAAATGGTGGCCCTCTTCTCTTCTCTGGTCTTCAACATCCACCTACCCTTGTATATGCCTTCTTCAAAACAAAAACTCTTAGCTTCAATATCCACTTCTCCATTTCACTGTAGATGAGAAACCTTCCCAATCCCCCTCTACTTGTAACCCCAGTCCTCCTCTAGCCATCCCTAAGTTTCTTGAAAGTGTTACACCTTTGCTGCAGGATCACCTGTACCATCAGTTGGCCCTAAAACTTGCAGGAGAGCAGTTCTCACAAGTAGATCTTCCAATGTCAGTGGCTGAATTTTCATCAAGGAGATCTTCACCAACTTTCATGGTGATCCAAGTTGGAAACTTGGAATATCCCAATGGTGATCCAAGTTATCAAATTCTCTCAAACCCATAGCCTTAGTACTTCACTTTCATACACGCAATTGACAGTAATTCTATTTATTTTCTTCCGTTTTTTTCTTCATTGTCTCAGATGATGGTGGTTATAAAGCACTTTTCCTGAAGCTCTATTTTACTCTCCTCTTTTATGGATGTTTTGACACCAGCATTTTATACCTTTTTATGATTTTCAATTTTCTCCATGTTATTGATCAAAAAGAAAATTCTATTTTCCTTTTGTGTACATCAACATTTTTGGTTGTGTTAGTGAAGGGGTATTTCGGTCTTTGTACCTGTTGAGAATGCTGATATGTACTATTATATTAGTTCGAGTGCCTCTTACTTAAATAAGGGCACTTATGTCTTTTCCAATTATATTAATAATATAATAACAGGTCTGGCCGAAACTAGGGTTGATTTTTTTCCTAATTCGAACCAGA